TGCCTTCCTCCTTCAACAGATGTCTGCTTGGCACAATAATACTTCTTCTAATATGAAGGCTATGTTTAAATCTGACTATCATTGGCAAAGAGTCCCTCTGTAAACTTAATTTTCCAATGACTTTTATTACTGTCAGTAACAAGAGTTTTCCAAGGCATAAATTCCAGTTTGAGAACAAAATAAACTGAAGATAAAAAGTAAGGTGTAAAAAAGGAACAGTAATGCACACGAAATTATATAATCCGTTCCATAAACCCTGGTGTTTGAGGCTGGGATCTGCCTATGGAAATGTAATATCCCCTCTGTACTTGATAAACTGTACTTGATAAACTTCAGAGCCTTGGGAAGCTAACTCCCTTATTTGCCATCTGAAACTTGATTGTGTCTTGAGGTTCTAGAGTCACTTAAATCCAAAATCCCAGAAAGATTGATAAGATATAATCCTAAATGAAATGACATGACTGTCTTGCATATATGTTAATGTATATAAGAGTTAAATCTGTGATACCATAAACAAACAAAAAGAATAAGTTAAGGTAAGACTTATTTTAGATGGACATTTTATTTTATAATGCACCTAGTTGCAATCTCCTTTTCTCAAAGTACAACTTGTAGTTTCTTTAAAAGGATCATGATCAGTTGTACCTGCTCTAAGCTCAGGAATGTCTACAATGTCTACTGCAAATTTTGGAGCCATCATCTTCTGCAAGTAGAGAATTTGATCTAACATTATTCAAAATAAGCCAAACTACGCTGTAATAACAGACTCCTAACCTTGGGAGATTATTGTTAGACACTGCCACCTCAATCCACCTCAGTTAATAACACGCAGGATCACTGCAGCAAAGAGACTGTGGAGAACTCACACCTGTGCTAAATGCTCTGGACTAGAAGCTACAATCACTTGCACTGATGGCCCATTGGTCAGAATTGATCCTATAACCCTGCCTAGCTGCAGGGGGCTGGGAAATCGTCCCAAATGCCCAGGAAGAAGAGGAGAATTACATTAGGTTGAACAATATTAACCTCTATCACAGACCCCAAGAAAGATATTTCACAAGGAATTCAAACAACAGGTGCATAAAGATGCTAAAACCTTGGTTCATAACTTATGTAAGATGTATACATATTTGTTTTCCACAGTGAAGCACACATTTCCACAGCTCAATTTAAGCCACTGACAGTATGATGTTGATGATACTCTAAGGAATATCTCCTGTTTATTCTCATTATCTTTACCTAAAAGTTTTGCAAAATACAGTAGTACAATTTCTACCAGCACAACAGTTCCCCCTCTGACTCAGAATTCAGGTGGTAAATCTTGGGCTGCGCACTCAGTGAAATGCCTGTGGTTTATAAAGGGCCCTTCAGACACAGTTGTACCTGAACTATACTGGAAAATGCAAGTCTAACCAGTGAGTGGCAAGTTCTTTCAACGACTCCTTTTTTAAACTATAGGTGGGCCATTTTCCCTGAGCCATGTACACTGCACATCCACAAAGCCATTCACTCCCCTTGCCATTTAGCTAGGCAGTTTCTGAGAGAAAATTGCTGTGTGACTACAGTATTTTTCAGAGAGTGAGTCATTTTACCACTGTTGTTGTGCATGCAGCACTCAGGGATTTTCAGGCACATTTTAAATGATTCCAGTACTGAGGGGAGTGGCCAAATCATGGCTTCTGCTCATATCCAATGCCACTTATGTTGACTTCCCAGAGATGGGTTCTATAAACATCAAGGACTTGAAAGCGACAAGAAGCCATCACAGACATTCAAAAAAAAAAAAAAAAAATAGAACAGTGGTAAGAGAGCCAAATGCAAGTTGAAAAACCAAAAATATTTATAGTGTGGGCAAGCCACAATTTGCAGCAGGGGAACAGCTCTGTCCCTAGGACTGAGGAAAGATGTTCCCTCCTCTCTCTCAAAGGAGCGCCTTTTAAGACTCTGAGTTCAGCAGCCGGCAGTGGTTATTTTCCTTAAAATCAACCAAAAACTTATGTGTGATTAGTTTGAGGGGGAAAAAAAGGAAGGTAAAAATGTTACAGCTGGATTAATTCTTAAGCTTTTTCTAAAGATTTTAGTTGTCTCTTCATCACTATTAACCAAAGGAAAAGGAGTTTTCACAAAGTAGATGCCTACACACACTGACTAGACAGACCTCAAATTAGTAATGCCTTAGTTTTTCTTTCTAAATAAGGGAAACTCTATGTTCCTTACACACACAAACACACACACACACACACACACAGCTGATTTTCCATCTATCCACCCACAGTAAGTTTCTACAGCCTCATTAAACTAGACTACTAAAGGTTGTTCAACAAATGAACCCATGCTTTTCTCCTCCCCTGAAATCCAGCTGTGCTTACAGGAACCAGGGACCTTGAAGTGCATTTTGACCTTCTACTTCCTAGAAACATTGTGTGGGCCACCCACTCTGTCCGGTGCACATAAAATCTTTGCTCTTGAAGTCACTTTTCCAGTCCTTTAAGCGCTGGTGTGTTCCTGAGGCTCTCTTCTCTTTCCACTGCACCCACTCTTATTGGATGATGCCATCTACTGCCCTGATTTCTATGATGTGCTGTTTAACCATTTTTATGTTGATGGTGCTCAAAATCTCAGATGAGTCCCAGTCTCTTTAAACTCTACATGTCCTCAACTGAACTCAACATCTTCCCCTCAATCCAAACATATTTCACTACCAGGTGTTTGGGCCAGAAACTTGACCATTATCTGTAACACTTCCCACTCCTCTTTAATCATTACCCATCTAGATTCTTCTTCTATCCATGCATTTCCTGTCTTTCTTGTTGACTACTGCAACAGTGTCCTAACTGTTCTCTTGGCCTCCAGTCTTATCCCTTTATGATCCATTTTCCACAGTGAAAAAGAAAGAAAGAGAGAAAGAAAGGAAGGAAGGAAGGGGGGAGGAAGGAAGGAAGAAAGGAAGGAAGGAAGGAAGGAAGAAAGAAGGAAGGAAGGAAGAAAGAAAGAAAGAAAGAAAGAAAGAAAAAAGAAAGAAAGAAAAGGAAAGAAAGAAAGAAAGAAAGAAAGAGAAAGAAAGTAAAAGAAAGAAGAAAAAGAAAAAGAAAGAAAAGAAAAAGAAAGACAGAAAGAAAGGTAAAGCAAAAAGAGTAATGGGAGTCAAGGTGAGTGCCAGGAGATTCAGAGTTCATGTATGACATTTGAAAGAGGAGATAGAAAAGCAACCTGGAGAAATCTCCTGATTTGGGCTCTAGCTGTTTACTGGCCTTGCCCTCTGTCCTTGGACTCCAAAAGTGATTATAGCGGTTGACAAAGAAGACAGGGCAGAGACCGTGGTGTGTGTGTGTGTGTGTGGCCAGCATTGATGAAGATTATCTTCTTGACCAAATTCTAGCCTGGTTCCCCTAAGCTCTCTTCTTGACCAGGCCTCAACCTCAGCCTATAAAAACTGCAGACTCCGAGCCCAAATTGATTCATTCACTCCAACCCACTCCCACATTAGAAGATATGAACAAACACAAACATATTTTCTAACAATCAAGGCAGAATTTCCAGGATGATGGTTGCAGCCCCCTTAAGTTCCTTCCTGAGAAAGTGGAAGGCTGCCAAAGAATTTACTGTTTGTTCCTGCCAACATGTGAAGATAGAGCCCCTGTCTTCCAGTCTCTGTGGAAGGACAGAAGTCAAACTTCAATAAGCAAACCCAAATGAGTTTCACATGAGTCAATGCCCCTACCTGTTTTTTATAAATTTCCATTTCCCTTCCTCTCCTCAAGCTCTGGCAATTCCCATCCTTACTGCCTCTCTCTTCCTTTGAAACGTGCAGTCACCTCTGCACAAATCAAAGTTGAGGTCAGTTCATGCTGGACCCTCTTCTCTATTGCAATAGTTTATCACTGATTAAAATCTATCCTTACTACTTTAATAAGTAGTGTCCAGCTTTGTATGTCTTTGGTGGCCTTGTCAGCAACATACACTCTGATATCCTGGTCAATCTGATTCCTGAGGTTGGTGTGGCACTTAGGAGAGTGACTGTCTCCAGGAAAATGTCAGTGGGCAAGAGGCAGACAAACACTGACCAAGTGAAGGTTGGAGGAAAATACAGCTCAGATGAAGGCATCAGAGATGAGGTTTTAAAGAAAGACTATTCCTAATAGGGAAAACATTTTTGAAGATATTCTTTATCATAAGGACTTTTAAGTAGAGGAGGGTTCTGGTCCCATAAGCTTTCTCTTGACTTCTCTCTTTTCTGCTCAAAATATACTATTTTCTAAGCCTTTAATTTGTTTCTACCTATAAAAACCAATAAACTGTATGAAAATCAGTCTCAAGTTTCTGTACATCTGAAAGTGTTATGGGAAGAAAATGTATTATATTATTTAATTTAAGAATATAATGTCATTCATACAATCAGAATTTGTTTATTCTTTAGCCATGTTCTGGCCTTTAATATTGTTTCTTTGACAGTAATACAGGCAATTTTATAATTTAACCATATGCCTTAAAGGTCCAGAAAGCAAACTTAGATTAAGACAAATAAGATAAAACAGACAATAGAGATACTCAATAGATTTACTTAGATCCATTCACTTAGCATCAGTGCATAATATATTCCAAAAGCGAGCATATATTAAATGCAAAATGGATAACTTTGAGTTCAGTAATTGGATAAATAGTCAAACAATATTCATTGCATATGCTTTGGGGCATGCATTTCATTCCTTATTGATCTGCTTTATTGAATTAACATATCAATTATTTGTTTTGATAGGAACAGGGAAGATGATCATAGGAAGGAGCAGTGGTAGAGAATATGTCTCTCGCTGCTGTACAAAACACACATGGCAGGTGATGATACCAAACAGCTAACTCCCAGAGAGACCTAAATGGCACATCTTGGCACATGTGGGTAAGTATAATGTTTATTAATCTAAAAAATGAGAAAATATTATAAAAATATAAGAAGTAGAAAACCCTACACAAGTTAAAATACAGAAAAATTTTAAGCAAATTTATTTGAATCAGGCAATATTTAATGTATCAAATAGTAATCCTAATAACTAGGTATAAAGTAATCTAAACCCAGGACACTAACCATGTCAAAAGGCAGCAGACATCCTGACCACCCCAGAATCCTTTGCCAGGGTTAGTGTTCTCTGATTACACATTTAGGCACCCCCTGGTTACAAGAGTACTTGTTTATTATTGATATTATAAAAATAACCATTCTCTAAATGATGACACATAGTAAATAAAATTAGAACTATACATAAGGATTTGAATAATTGCAATTTCTTTAAGGACCACCTGCAACTTCTGCCTGCTTCACAGACCTGTAGGGGAGAAAAAAACAAAAGAAAATGTGCTCAATAATACCTCTATAGTCGGTATATTAAAAGAAAGTTTGGGACGTTAATGCTTTCCTATACCCCGTATAAACTTTTACAATGGCACTGACCTTAGGATACCACTTCTATCAACTGTATTTTGTTGCCAGGATGTCAATTTCTGGTATCTGTATAAAACCTTTTTGTATATTTAATTAGAATTAGATATTCTACAGATATCTTGGACTGTTGAAAAAGACTGGCTTCCCTCCCTTCCTATAGGAGGGAGCCAAGGGAGAAATATAGCCAATGAGAATACTTGCAAGCGATGTACACAATTACTATCTTGGAAGGAATTATGAAAGCTTAATTTAGGAAGCTAGAGTGGCATAAGCTAGATCAGGCCATACAAGTCCTTACTTCAGCACTGGAACTATGTGCCCATACTGCTTGACTGAAAAGAATTCCTTTATTTTTTTCCTAGAGGAATCTGATTATGATGGCAAGGGGAAAGATCCATGCTCCTAGAATATTTTATCTGTTTTTTTCCTGCTTTGTTATATTTAATATTTGTATTAAATATTAAATATTTAATTAATATATTAATATAATTTATTATATTTAATATTCCCGATTCATCTACTAGACCATAAATACTTTGAAAGAAAAATATAAATCTCCAACTTACTTACAGGACCTGAAAGAATACTTTGCACATGCTGTTTGCTCAATAAGTATTTGTTTGATGGGAAAGGGGGAGGGGATAAAGGGAGAAAAAGAGGAAAGAAGGGAATCCAGTTATTTTTGCACATAACTTTTCCCTTATCTGGAAAACTTTGCTTACCCCAACCAATCCCAGCTAACTCCTTTATCTAACTAACTCCTACTTCTTTAGGACTTGGTCTTCAATATCACTTTCTCTAAGCCCTTTGACTACTAGTCAAGGTAGAATTCTCTGAGGCATGCACTTATCTCACCCTAATGTTTACCTGAGGATAATCTGCAGTGTTTTATGTAAATCATGTTCAATGTGTGACTTCATCATTTAGTAAGCTTATGTCACATGTGATAGTGACATGTTATTCTCTAGCATAGTTCCTGTTTTATTTTAGGTCTTTATTAAATATGAATCAAATGAATGATTTACTTATTTAGATCTCTTGGATAGAAGGGCTGTATACCTACATGTTATACAAAAAACATGCGAAGGACCAAAGAAAACAACATGATCTGTGTGTTCCTACGATGGTAGAATTATGATGTGGAAGAGAGAGAAAATTTTTGTCTGTGATACAAAAAGAACCAGAAAGAAGGTAGCTACAAGGATTCAGATTTTGGAGCAAAAGAGAATGATTTCATTTGAAGTAGGTTTTAAACATTTTGTACAACTTAAGCAAACTGTTTGCTTGCTTGTCTGCTTTTGTCACCATACTGTATGTTACATCCCCATGACTTCTTTATTTCATGATTGGAAGTTTGTGCTTTTTTGACCACCTTCACCTATTTTGCCCAATCCCTGCCTCTGGCAACCACCAATCTGTTTTCTGTACTTTTGAGCTTGGTTTTTGTTGTTTAGATTACACATATAAGTGAGATCAGATGTTATTTGTTTTTCTGTGTCTGACTTATTTCAATTAGCAAAATCTCCTCAAGTTCCATCCATGTTGTTGCAAATGGCAAAATTTTATTCTTTATGGCTGTATATGTATATTGCATTTTCTTTATCCATTTATCTGTCGATGGACACAGGTTTTTTCCATATCTTGGCTATTGTAAATAGTGCACAGAACATGGGGATGCAGATATCTTTTCAAGACATTTTTGTTTGTAACCCTCCAGACAGTATTCTGAAGATGTACATATATGATTGTGTATGTGTCTATGCATTGTATATGACAAAAAAACAATTTATTTAGTATACTGTTTGGTAACTCACTTTTTAATGTAACATTATTACAAGAATATTTCCACATCAGAATATATAGAGAGATATATAGATCCAGTTAATATCACTATAAATACATGTATTTATCCAGTGAATATATATCTCATCCTTCATAAGATGTACAACAGTATTCCATTATATAGATTGCTATACTTTTTTAATCAATTCTCTTTTATTGGTAATTGGCTTGTTCACATCTTTTCATGCTTTCCATGTTTTAATATAAAACATTTTTTTGTTTTATTATAAAATATGTGCAATGAACATAATATTCTGATAACTATACAGCAAGGCATTGCAGAAATTATTTCTTTAGGTGACTTATTAATATAGAATTATTAGGTTAATGAGCAATTAGACCAGAATAAAATTGAATGAGAAGCCACAGGAGGTAGAATGCTTCCCATTACTCAAGATATTGAAGACTGAATGTCTATTTCGTAGGGGCATTGCAGAGAAGATACGAGCATTAGATTGGAAGAAAGTAGATGGTTCCAAAATTCTAATTTTGATATTCTGTGATTCTGTGAGTGCTAAGGACAAACTCAACCTTTTGCTTATCTCTGTGACACACTTGGGAGAAGAAACTATGAATTATTCATTGTATATCCAGTTCATATAGTAGCCTCATGTCTATGGATGTAAAATTGTTCTGATATTCTGTATCTCTAAGACATATTTAATGGTGTCACAAAGTCCATGCTCTTCACAGAATGGGGAAATGTTTTAATCTCAATTCTATCTAAAAGTGATTTTCCTGCCAAGGAGAAGGGATTTAAATTCCCATCCTACTTCCTCAGCATGGGAGAATACAGACTCAATGAGAAGCCTGAGATCCATAGAACATCACAAAAAGAGAAAGGAAACATTATGCCCAGTAGGAAGGAAATGTCTTTTTCATTAGAGGTCATGAGAACTACGCATTAAAAAAATCTGAACTTGGAGCAGTTGTAGATAGTACCCATAATTACCTGACATTGGTATTAAGTGCCCTGAGCAAACATACCAGAGTAGACCAGGGTAGGACAAGAAGAGCATGGAACACAAAGGAGAAGATCAGCAGAACCTGCACAGTGAAAGAAAAAGAGATAATATGCTGGACCAGGAAAAAAAAATCTATTAAACATAATTCCCTAGCAGGTTAAACAATTTCTAGTGAAGATTAATTGAAATTAATATGAAAAACTACACTTAGAGTATATAATGAGCTGCAATTACATACAAGTTAACTGCCTAATGGTGTGTATATTCTTATTCCATACTCCAGTCATTTTCAATTCAAGCTTCTGTTGATTTTTAAATAAAATCTAGGGCAAAATGCCCTCCAGCTAGTGTTTTGAATATATATATATATAGACTTTAAGAAGATCTCACATAAATCATATTCATAATTCTTATGTCCAGCATGGGTTAGACAAGAAAATAACACTGTTCAGGTGGCTACCCTAACACAACTTAGTTGGGATTAGATATATATACATCACAGAATGGTGATGCTATCATATTTGCAATTTAATGTCATCATCACAAAGTTATTAGGAGATTTATAAAAGTAGTGCATATAAATACATATACACTCTATTCATAATGCCTGGCACATAACATTACATGCTAAATGTAATTCCTCTGAATGCATCCCTGGCAGAAGGGCAGTACTTAATGGGACAAAGGGACAGGCGTATTCTAGTTTAAAAGAATGGGGAAATAGAATGGAGGCTAAAAAGCAGATGAACTAAAGGACTCAAGGGAGATAAGCAATTCCGCATTCTTGAAGAGAAAGGAAATAGAGTAAGTCCAAGTTTTCCAAAGCAAATCTTGGAATGCTAGTCCTGCATGGTGTTAATATGAATGATTCACAAAATATGGTTCTTTGGTCAAAGAATTTTGGACAGGGATGCCTGGGTGGCTCAGCTGGTTAAGCAACTGCCTTCTGCTCAGGTCATGATCCCAGGATCCTGGGATCAAGTCCTGCATCCGGTTCCTTGCTCAGCAGGGAGCCTGCTTCTCCCTCTGCCTAACACTCCCCCTGCTTGTGCTCTCTCTCTCTGACAAATAAATAAATAAAATCTTAAAAAAAAAAAAAGAATTTTGGACAGCAACATACCATATCTGCTTTTTGGAGGATCAAAATACACACCAGCATATTAAATAAAGCCTCTTAGAAGTCTTCTGTAACTTGATATTTATCAAAATTAAGTAAATAAATTTAGGTACTAAATAAATAAAACTATGTAATGATATTTATCAAAGTTATTTGATACTAGATTTTTATATAACTCATTTTTTAAAAATCTGTAGACATCCACTGGTAAGTTCTGTTTCAACCAGAGTCAAAGACTTATATCAATGCAACTGCTGTTTCAAATAATTCAGCAACAAAATTGAAAAAACATGGGTTTTGTACTCAGACCTGAGTTCAGATTCTGATTCCATCCTTTCCTATGTATGTGACTTTGAGCAAGTTAGCTCAGCATCCCTCTCAGAGGAAGACTATAAGGGAAACACCTTTGCAAGAATCATTAAGTAGTAGATATTTGACAGTGTTGCAGTATTCAAATTTAGATAAATAGGAACTACAAAAAAAATATGGACTGAAAGCAATGATGGTATGTGGCAAGTGGATGCTGAATAAAGCTGGAGAACTTGATAAACTTTTAGAAATCTTAAACAGGGAAGGGTTTGAATGAAATAATGATGCATTCATATTTAAATGTTCTTTACCACCCAAAGATATTAAAGGTGCTTGCAAGAGAGCAATTGAATTAATGCTTTGTATTAGTGGTTCTCAAATTTTAAGCATATTAGAATCATCTGGAGGGTTTTTTAAACACAGGTTGCCAGACTTCACTATTAGAGTTTCTGACTTAGCAGTTGTGGAGTGGGGTCCAAGGAACTGCATTTCTTACAATTTCCAAAGTGATGCTGATGCTAATGCTGATGCGGCTGGTTTGTGGACCACACTTTGTGTATCACTGTTCTGTGTAGCATGGACTTTGGGTGAAGGATGAAGCCAGCTGTGGTTGGATATACTTGAAGAAAAAGTAGTGAAGCTTCTAGGTACAAAATTAGACTGAAGTGTAGGTTTAGTAGAAAATAGATAGCCTTAAGGGCAGAAGGTTTGGGACAGAGAATGGATTATAGAAATATAAGATGTTAGAGTTGGATGCTATTTCACATTTGACCAAAAAAAAAAAAAACATGCATTACTTCAGAAGATCACTACATTTGAGAGGGCCAAAGAATTATAATAGTAAAACATTGGATAAGTCTCCCAAGTTGGAGTTAAATTTTCTTAATGATAAGATTGGGGCAGAGAGAAAAGCAATGAATCAAATATAAACACCCCACATGAAATAGGAGTGATTGGTAAGATTATAGTGACAAGGAAAGAAACAGGACAGCCAGACAAATGGTGTGAGCCCAAAAAGGAAAATTTCAGGTAGAATGTTAATGCTACCTCATGGTATTTGACACTTGGTAATTGAAAGAAGGAGCAGCTTCTCCTGATAAAGGTAAGGGTAGCAGCTTTTCTAGAAACCATTTCAAATAAGGTAAAAGAAAGGGTGGGGGGGCATGAAGAGTGTTCTTTGACTAGCACTGACAGACAGTTTGCAAATAAAATTCCAGTTCCATAGGGCCCAGTGGAAAGATCTGGGAAATAGATCCACAGTGCTTAAGAAAACAAACAAATGAGGAGATTTTATTTTGATAGGGACAGTGGGGCAAGGCAAAGTGGTCAAGGATAAGAGAAATAAAAGACAGAATTAACTGATCTCAAGTTTCTCAATTGAACTTTGGCATAACACTTGGTCTTGTGTGGCAACTGACTTACGTATCCAGCCTTACACCGCTTCCCTCTGTGAAGCAAAACTACTTATATAGGGGATGGCCCATTATTACCCATACTGAGGGGGATTAAGAAATGAAGCACCTTTGGTGGGGGGAAGAAAGGGCAAGCAAGAGAGTAGCCATGAATTCTAGAAATAAAGGTAATATTTTTGTTTACAGATTAGAACCTGCTTCCTTTCTTCTTGAATGTTATAGGTACAGGTCTATAGTAAAAAACAGCAACACAAATCACCTGAGGCAGTGATCACAAATACATATGAAGGGATTGATGTAAATGCTGCATTAATGCTCTATGTTCATTGCAACTCTGACTAAATTATCATTACAACAGAGGAACAATACACTGAACATATGAAATGCCATTGAACATTTCATGTTCTGTTGTGTAGACTGATAAACCACTTATTACATATATATGTCTATGTTTCTAGACATTGTGGCCTCCCTGAATAATCAGAAGATAGAGACTCAGGCTTGGCCATTTCTCAAGTGATCTTCAAAGGTCACTTAAATAATATGAACTAAATTTATTCATTCCTTCATTTGTTCAATTCATTCAGTAAATATTTTTTAAGTAAATCAATAGTGAATATATAAATATTTATTAAATAAATATGTGTTGAATACTGACAATGTAAAATAGGAACATTAAGAATAAATTTTCCCTGATATGTCATTTGCAAATATTTTCTCCCATTCTGTCGGTTGTCTTTTGGTTTTGTTGACTGTTTCTTTTGCTGTGCAAAAGCTTTTTATCTTGATGAAATCCCAATAGTTCATTTTTGCCCTGGCTTCCCTTGCCTTTGGTGATGTGAGCACTGTGATTTGTACAAGACTGATGAATCACGGATCTGTACTTCTGAAACAAATAATGCAATATATGTTAAGAAAAAGAAAAAAGAAGAAGAAGATAGCAGGAGGGGAAGAATGAAGGGGAGTAAGTCGGAGGGGGAGACGAACCATTAGAGAAGATGGACTCTGAAAAACAAACTGAGGGTTCTAGAGGGGAGGGGGTGGGGGGATGGGTTAGCCTGGTGATGGGTATTAAAGAGGGCACATTCTGCGTGGAGCACTGGGTGTTATGCACAAACAATGAATCATGGAACACTACATCAAAAACTAATGATGTAATGTATGGTGATTAACATAACAATAAAAAATTATTTAAAAAAAAAGAATAAATTTTCCCTAATAGGTTAATTTTTGGGATTAAATATGTGGAAGAAACATAAATTATGAAGCCTTGATTAGCTAGTAGAAACTTTCTGAAAATTATTTTAAATGTTAACAAATGGATAATCCTTTGTGTCCTAATATGAAGGAGAAAGTAACATATAACATATGTTTAATAATATAAAGAAAAGCCATGTTTTTGGTTTGAAGAATGTTTAATGATACTGAAGTTGATATATAGTTTTGGAATATTTAGTCAACATTTCAAAACAACTCATTTTTAAGAAATTTGGAAGCCTGCTTTGAGCAGTTGTTCTATTTTTAATATCTAACTATGGGATTTAAAACATGTTTAATGTAATTACTAAATGTTATTTATTTTATTCTGTCAAAATTTTAATTTTTATGTTTATCATGTATGCTTCCCTTAATTTTCTGGAGGACTTTGCATGTAGATAACAATTTGGAACACAGTGTAAATTTAACTAAATCAAGTTGAAGTTTATATTAAAAGCAGATTTTCTACCCAAATGTATTACTGCTGGTTTCTTTATATGTCACTTTTTCTTATTTTCATGCTCTGTAGTGTTTTCTTTGTGATACAAATTCTGCACTCAGTGAAATAATTCCTCTCTTGATACTATCTATACACACATTGCCCCCCCCTCCTTTTTTTTAGCTTATAGAGATGGAATGACATTTTTGGAGTAGAACATATGGCCTTGGATTGAGCTAGAATGTAGACTGCATTTAATTGTGTATCCTTGGGAAAGGATATTTAACAGATCTGAGTTTATAAAACCAGAGTAATATCATCTACATATTAAGTTGTCCCAAGGATTAAAGGAAATACTACCTAGCACATACCAGCAAAAATTTAGTAAGTTCTCTTCCATTTTCTCTTCTTTTGGAGATACGTGTGTTCCTATGTAAGCCTTAAAATGTCAATTACTCATAATAGGTTTTAAGGAGAAATGGAATGATATAACTCTAATTACTCAAATAGACTTTGTAATTCTATTTTATGTTAGCTTATGTGACAAT